ATTTTCATGCAACTAAGCCATTAAGCCATTCATCATTATTACCATTTTAGTATAAGTTATGAAATAATCAAAAGAAATTAATCAATATACTAAAATTGGACATTGTTACCAGAATGGATGGGAATTACAGTACCAATAAACTATGTACAGTACATGCGGATATTTTACCGAGAAAATAAAGGTATTATTTACAATAATATAAAAAATAAAATTTTAATTCGTTACAATATAACAGTTAAAAAGTTTCTACCGGGAATTTTATTTTTTATTTTTATTTGTAAAAAAATTCGTATTCACTCTGATTTACGCACCCCGATTGGTCGACATACGTATCAATATCGCTATGTTTAAATTATAATAATTTATTAATAAATTAGATTATTTAAAAAAAATATTATACAATTTTTTTTTGTATATATCAATATTTTAATTTTAATCGTATTTAGGTAAATAAATATAATGATTTGTTAAGTAATTTTGTATCATAATTTAATCTTCTATAAAAAAAATATCCAAAGATAAAAGAAATTTTGATATTTTTACCAATGATATAATTGTCTATGTTAGAAAAAAATATTATTCAACACCATAAAGTTGTTTCAATAAATAGAATCAGCTACTGGTAATTATACCTAAAATGACATCCGTAAGCAGCATTAAAGATAACTGGCTAATTCAGTAATTAGTAATTTTGAATTATTCAGATAGTTCAAGTATCTCTAATTACGACTGGTTGTTTAAGCTCAAATAGTAGAGATATATCTCGGTTATTATTACCACTTGTTAACAATAATTAATCTTTTTTAACTCCTTATACGCTTTTTGATTACCATTATGGTTTGCTTTTTGAAACCATTCAATAGCTTTTTGTGTATCTAATAATACACCATTGCCCTTTTGATAGCATAAGGCCACAACATATTGCGCATTAGAGTCTTCCCCTTCAGCTGATTTTAAATACCATTCAAATGCTTTCTTTTCATCTTTGTCAGTTCCAAAACCATTGCGATAGCACCATCCAATTTTATTTTGCCCGCTTTGATTTCCTCCTTCCGCAGATTTTAAGTACCATTTAAATGCTTGTTTTTCGTCCTTAATAGTCCCAAACCCATTTTGATAACACCAACCGAGATTATATTGACCTCCCGAATTACCGCCTAGTGCAGATTTCAAGTACCATTCAAATGCCATATTTTCATTTTTGGCAGTCCCAATTTCGTTTTGATAACACCATCCAAGTTTATTTTGTCCATTAGAATTTCCTCCTTCAGCAGATTTTAAATACCAATTAAATGCTTCCTTCATATCTTTATTGGTTCCAAAACCATTCTGATAGCACCATCCAAGATTATACTGTCCTCGAGAATTCCTTTCTATCGCTGATTTCAAATACCATTCAAATGCTTTCTTTTCATCTTTAGATGTTCCAGAACCATTTTGATAACACCAGCCGAGATTGCATTGACCACTCGAATTTCCACCTTCTGCAGATTTCAAGTACCACTCAAATGCTTTCTTTTCATCGCTAACTGTTCCAAATCCGTTATCATAGCATAACCCAACACTATATTGCGCGTTAATATTCTTATTTTCAGCTGATTTCAAATACCATTCAAATGCTTTCTTTTCATTTTTATCACTTCCAAAACCATTATCATAACACAGTCCAAGGCTATACTGTCCACTTGAGTTTCCTCCTTCAGCAGACTTTAAATACCATTCAAATGCCTTCTTTTCATCTTTAGTGGTTCCAAACCCATTTTGATAACACCATCCAAGGTTGTTTTGCCCATCAGAATTCCCATATTCAGCAGATTTTAGATACCATTCAAATGCTTTTTCTTCGTCTTTAATAGTTCCAAAAGCATTTTGATAACACCACCCAAGATTGTTCTGTCCATCAGAGTTTCCGCTTTCTGCTGATTTTAAATATAATAAAAATGCCTGTTTTTCATTTTTATCAGTACCGAAGCCATGTTGATAACACCAACCAAGACTGTTTTGTCCATTAGAATTTCCTCCCTCGGCAGATTTAAGGTACCATATAAATGCTTTTTGTTCATCTTTAACGGTTCCTAAACCATTTTGATAGCACCATCCAAGATTATACTGTCCAATAGAGTTTCCACCTTCAGCTGATTTTAAGTACCATTCAAATGCTTTCCTTTCATCCCTAGGTGTTCCAAAACCGTTTTGATAACACCAACCAAGTTTATTTTGTCCTTGAGAGTTCCCGCTTTTTGCAGATTTTAAGTACAATTCAAGTGCTTTCTTTTCATTCTTAGAAGTTCCTAGACCATTCTGATAACATTGCCCAAGACTACAATGACCGTTAGAATTCCCATTTTCAGAGGATTTTAAATACCATTCAAATGCTTTTCTTTCATCTTTAGTAGTTCCAAAACCATTATCATAACATAGACCAAGTCTATACTGTCCTTGAGAGTTTCCACTTTCCGCAGATTTCAAATACCATTCAAATGCTTTCTTTTCATCTTTATCAGTTCCAATACCATTATCATAACATAGTCCAAGATTATACTGTGCACTAGGATTCTTGTCTTCCGCCGATTTTAAATACCATTCAAATGCTTTCTTTTCATCTCTGAGAGTTTCGGGACCATTTTGATAATACCACCCGAGACTCTTTTGTCCATCAGAATTTCCACCTTCAGCAGATTTTAAATACCACTCAAATGCTTGTCTTTCATCTTTAATAGTTCCAATACCATCGTCATAACATAATGCAACATTATACTGTCCGTTAGTATTTCCGCTTTCTGCAGATTTTAAAAACCATTTAAATGCTTTATTTTCGTCCTTAATAGTTCCAACTCCATTTTTAAAGCACCAACCAAGCTTAAATTGTCCAGCAGGATTTCCGCTCTCTGCAGATTTTAAGTACCATTTAAATGCTTTTCTTTCATCTTTAGCAGTACCAATTCCATTTTGAAAACATATTCCAGCGTTATACTGTCCACCAGCATTTCCGCCTTCGGCAGACTTTAAGTACCATTCGAATGCTTTCTCATCATCTTTATCAGTTCCAAAACCATATTGATAGCAACTTCCAAGATTGCATTGTCCGTTAGAATTTCCACCCTCAGCCGATTTTAGGTAACATTCAAATGCTTTTGCTTTATCTTTTGCAGTTCCAAATCCATTTTGATAGCACCATCCAAGATGATATTGAGCAACAACGTTTCCGATTTCAGAAGTTTTTAAATACCACAAAAATGCATCATTTTCGCTTTTAGCAGTCCCAAAACCATTTTGATAGCACCATCCAAGTCTATTTTGTCCGTTAACATTCCCATTTTCCGCAGACTTCAAATACCATTCAAATGCTTTTTTTTCATCTTTAGGTATTCCGGAACCATTTTCACAGCATCTTCCAACGTTAAACTGTCCATCTGAATTTCCATCTTCAGCGGATTTTAGGTACCATTCGAATGCTTCTTTTTCATCTCTAGTAGTTCCAAAACCATTTTGATAACACCAACCAACATTGTTTTGACCATTAGAATTCCCATCCATTGCGGATTTTAAATACCATTCAAATGCTTTCTTTTCATCTATAGTAGTTCCAAAACCATTTTGATAACACCAACCTAAGTTATATTTAGCAACGACGCTTCCATTTTCAGCAGATTTTGAATACCATGTAAAGGCCTCTTTTTTGTTTTTAGTAGTTCCAAACCCATTTTGATAACACCAGCCAAGTTTATTTTGACCGTGAGGATTACCTCCTTCGGCAGATTTTAAGTACCATTCGTACGCTTTTTTCTCATCTTTAGCAGTTCCAATGCCAAGTTGATAACACATTGCAAGTTTATTTTGCCCGACGTTATTTTTATTTTCAGCAGATTTTTTATACCATTCAAAAGCTTTAATATCGTCTTTATACGTTCCAAAAGCAGTTTGATAGCATAATCCAACATTATATTGTCCGTTAGAATGTCCGCTTTCTGCAGATTTTAAATACCAATTAAATGCTTCTGCTTTATCTTGTTCAGTTCCAAATCCATTTCGATAACACCATCCAAGATTACATTGTGCGTCAGTACATCCATTTGTTGCAGACTTCAAGTACCATTCAAATGCTTTTTTTTCATCTTTATTAATCCCGAAACCATTTTGGTAACACAATCCTACATTATATTGTCCGCTATGATTTCCGTTTTCAGCTGATTTTAAGTACCACTCGAATGCTTTTTTTTCATCTTTTGTAGTTCCAAAGCCATTTTGGTAACACCACCCGAGTTTATATTGCCCAAAAGAATTTTCGCCTTCAGCAGCTCTTGAATACCATTCAAAAGCACGTATTTCATCTTTAACAGTTCCAAAACCATTTTGATAGCACCAACCAAGATTACATTGACCACCAGAGTTTTGACCTTCAGCAGATTTCAAATACCATTCAAACGCTTTTTGTTCATTTTTGACAACGCCAGTACCATTGCGATAGCACCATCCGAGATTATTTTGTCCACTAAAATTACCATTTTCAGCAGACTTTAAGTACCATTCAAACGCTTTCTTTTTATCTCTAGAAGTTCCAACCCCATTTTGGAAACACCATCCAGCATTATATTGTCCACCAGAATTGCCATTTTTAGCGGATTTCAAATACCACTCAAATGCCTTCTTTTCACTCTTAGCAGTTCCAATTCCATTATCGTAATAAAGTGCAAGATTATATTGAGCATTATTATTACCATTTTCAGCAGATTTTGAATACCATTTAAATGCTTTATTTTCATCTTTATCAGTTCCGAAACCATTTTGATAACACCGTCCAAGATTATATTGTCCAATAGGGTTTCGATTTTCTGAGGATTTTAAATACCATTCGAAAGCTTTTGAAATATTTTTCGTAACACCATAACCATTATAATAGCATTCACCAATATAATATTGCCCAATACCATAATTTTTTTCAGCCACTTCAGAAAATAATTGAAAAGCTTTATCCTCATCTTTGTCTACCCCGATACCATTCAAATAAGCTATAGCTAAAGAAATTTTACAAGTAATCCAATTATTTTTAATAAGATCCTTAACTAAGATTTCAACGCGTTTGTTATTAGATTGAGCGTTACCAAATGTATCCTTAAGTTCTGTCACTTTTGTATACATTTCAATCGCTCTTTGATGATTAATTGTAGTTCCAATTCCATATTGAAAAAAGAATCCAATAATACCAGTAAATAAAAAATGATGTTTATGATCGATTAAATGACTAAGAACAATTCCCGGATTTTTGTTATTATTTTGAAAATAATTAATTAAGTTAGGCCTTATTAAATCATGTTTCTCGTATATATCAAATTGCTTAAAGAAATATTGAAATAAATCCAAGATAAATTTAAAAGATGATAAATTATCTGAAGCTGATTCGTTAGAATTGTTGGAGATTTTTTCTAAATTACTTGATTGTGATGAGGACGATATATTTGCAAAGTTTTCATTAAGTTTGTCAGCAACATTTGATGCAGTTAATTCTCCTATAGTATTTTGAATCTTATCAATAATTAATTTTGATTGATTAACGCTCGTCATTATTATCGAATTTGAGAAAGAATTCTGCACGTTATCTGCTTGTTTTAAGATTTTTAAAAATGTTCCAAGTAGTTCTAACTCTTTAAATTTATTTTCGTATTGATCTTGATATGCTTGTATTAAATCCTGTATACCTTTACTGTCGGCT